TATAGCGCGATATGCAGAAAATTTAAATAGACTCACTGTTATATTTTTAAACAAAGTTATTACAACCATTTAGGTACAAGACACTATGAATTAATCTTAAAATTAATTAAAATTTATTATTAAGTAGCTGCTCACTACTTTGCAGGCTAACTCTATAACTAGTTTTTGAGTATATAAGATATGTTTCACCGCGAATTTCTTTGTAAATTTTAGCCTATGTCAACTGCGTTAAAGTCGCTTTAGTAGTTTCGGAGAGTATTCGATGTAAACAAAGTTTCCTTTTTATAATAATAATATACATAAACAAAATAAAAATAATTTAATAATATAGATCAACATCGAAGGGTAATTCATCAAGGAAAAGAAGTCATTAGATAATCGAAGGTCATCGAAGAAAGGAACACATTTGATAATCTTCATCATAAAAAAACTAGTTCGGCTTTATACTCACTGATAACTGTACATATGTAAATATTGAAACACAGATAATAACACTGAAGCACCTTGTTCTATCTAATAAATCTACGATGACATTATGTTGTTTAGACTAAGTCAAAGTTAATATAATACAATTAATAAGCTGTTTTCTGGCTACTTTGCCCGTGTAAATTATATATAGCCTACGTCGCCCGCGTATGATGTAGTGGCTAGAGACAAGCAATAAAAAAAATCCAGTGTTGATTTGGTATTTTTGGTAAATACATATATTTATTTTTCCATTCAATTTGCTTCAGAATTCAAATGTTTCATTTTAACGCCTTTATTAGCATTTTCGTAAAGTTGTACAAAAAATTAAGTCAGTTAAGCAGTCATTGACCTTTGAAAAAATTTAAGCTTCTTTGTATCTTAGTGATTTTTTTTTCTTCTAAATGATAAATACGATGGATTAAAACCTCAAAAATAAAATCTCTATGACTTTCAATTACACAGAGATTATTTTTGATTTTTCTAGCTGGCAATATTTGATAAAGATAAATTTTGTATTTTTAGTTGATTTGTAACTAAATATAAAATGATTATTCACCTTTGTTTTTAAAAGAACAGCATTTACTACATACGTATTAAGTATCGTCATGCTTGGATGTGCACTGTAACATTGTTTTTATAATGAGTGATGATTTTAATATTTTGCCTTCAGGCTTTGATTATGTAATAACTTTGTGAACTTAATTAACTTAGGTACTGTCTTTCATTGATTGAAAAATCTAAAATTGACTTTAAAAAATCGAAAGAGAAATATTAAAAATTAATAATCATAGAAAACAAAAAGCCCTATTGCGAAAAAACGAATTTAAAAAAATACATGAAAAAATTAACTTAAATAAAAACTAAAAAGAAAGAAACAAGACCAGCAGTAGTTGAGAATTCTGTTAAGTAATACAGAACAGAACGACTCATAGTCGGGGCCCCTTGGAAAGATTTGGTTGGTAAAATTTGATTGGGTACGGTAAAAATGGGACCCTATTATCGTCCGTCTGTCATAACAATATATCACGTATATCACGAACAATGCTAAACATGAGACAGTTGAAATTTTTATGCGTGATGTATTTCTGTTGCCATTATTACAACAAATATTAAAAAAGGAATACAATTAATATTTAAAAGGACTCCTTTAACTGGGTTCCCATACAATAAAAAAAATTGCATTTTTTGTAGTTAATGAGAGACAACCTTTTATGTGGTACTTCGACTCGCACTTGACCGATTTTTTCAATGTTTACAACGTTAACTTAATGTCCAAGGTCATTGGTTTATTTATGATGTGAGCAAACCAACTGCTTAAAAACACGGTTTGCACGGTCCAACGGACCCCCCTCATTCAAATTCATAAGAGTTTGGCTAGTGTTTAGTGTCCGTCTGGCCTGGTCCATTGTGTGTCGGTCTATTGATTCGAAACGGCGACAGAGGGGCGTGATTCAACCATGACCAACTTGATATTTTACCACTTAACGAAATTGTGTGCAGAACAATATCGGACTCGAGTATACGAATGTATTTTATATTATATCCGTTAAAAGAGTTTTTAAGCGGAAACAGTTTACCTCTTTGCTTCATTTTTCTTTTTTTTGCCAAATTACTCTTACTTAAAATTATTTATCTTTATGAATATTATTAAAAATTATCTTTATGAATATATTTTCTACATTAGAAGATAAATCAGACTTGTAGTTAACATTTTGAGTATTACTTTTTCTTTTTCAATTATAAATCCAAATGTCGCCCTTTAACTGTCAATGTCACATATTAAGTTTGTCATGTGTAAATACGTGGTAAATACCGTGTCTTAGCCCTATTCGACGTGTAACTTTTTACATGTAATAAATTCATTTCATTACAATATTGACAATAAAAACCAGTAAACTTTTATAAACAGCATTAATTTTAACGCTTTGCGATTATGTATATTAAAAACACTAGGTTTACTTTGAAGCATTATAGTAATAAGTCAATGTTTATTGTATTAAAAAAGAGAATAATAATTAGTGATTCATTCATTAATAATGTAGAAATAATACAACACAGCAAAACAGCAAAAAGTTCAAAGCTATGTTAAATAGTCGATAGTGAACTGTTATCGATAATGTGTTTTATACTATAAAATAAAAATTATTAAACATATTGAAATAAAAATAGGTATTCGCTGATTATAGTAATTTGTAATAGATTTTATGCCAATAGTGGCATAGATATCACAATATTATGCCGTCATTATTAGGTTTTTAATACAATAATATTTTACTTGTGAACAAAATTACTTAAAAAATTTACCACGAATGACAAGTGACAACGCCATCAGATGTGTTAGCTCTATGTACACAAAGTCCTCGTATTTAATTTTAAATTGATCTGAAAGCTTTACTTTACATAGAAATTTCTGTATCTTACACAGATCTAATAATCAAATATTAGTATAACTTTGCGAGGTTATACTTTTAATAAGCGTATTAAAAGCTTTGAATGTTTATTCTAAACTTAATTATAAAGTTCTTTGCTTATTAATTAATATACGCTAAAAAGTACTTTTTTAACTTTATTCCTTTTCACTTCCTACTTCGCTTCAAATGTAATGCTGAAATTTTTTAATTAGGATAACCTTTGAATGATTCTACAAAGTTTATGGAATAAGCAGGTCATGAGGAATAGTTATTTTATCTGTGTATTAATATTACGGCGTCTGCGTTGTGTAATCTAGAATGGCATTTGCAAGCTTAAAAGCTCTTCTCTGATACGAGGGTCAAACTGAAAGTTCTTAGAACTGGCCACTTATAAACAATATAATAAAAAAATAATTCTAAAATTTGAAAATATAACTCTTTGCCAATATTACTGAGTATATATTTCATTCATTTGTCATTTGTTTTACGATTTGGCGGCAAATTGAAAATTGTCTGTGTCACGTCATCATGAATTTAACACGAGAAAATTTTCGTGCAATGATTTTTTATGACTTTCGATGTCATTTAAGTCAACAAGAAAGTTATGATAGACTACGATTGGCCTTTCACGATGAAGCCCCATCTCGTGCGACTGTTTACAACTGGTTTAATGAGTTTAAACGTGGTCGCACTAATCTCACTGATGATTTACGTGAGGGACGGCCTTCTACGGCGACGACTGAAGATAACATCTGTGTTGTGCGGCGTATGATAGAGACTGACAAAAGAGTGACCTATCAACAGATTCGGACAAGCTTAGGCATCGGTATGAGTCAAGTGCACAAAATCCTCCACGAACATTTAGCGGTCAGGAAGCTTTGCGCCCGGTGGATACCTCATAATTTGACTGAGGCTCAAAAACTCCATCGTGTGGATTGGTGTCGTAAAATGATTGAAAGATTTAACGGAGGTGACTCAAATGCTGTGTTCGACATACTAACAGGTGACGAAAGCTGGATTTACTGTTATGATCCTAAAACCAAAAGACAATCTGCTCAGTGGGTGTTTCCTTTCGAGGAGTTGCCAACTAAAGTGAAGAGAGATCGAAGTGCGGGAAAAAAAATGGTGGCCTCGTTCTTTGGAAGGATAGGTTATTTTGCAACAATTGTGTTAGAGGATCAAAAAACAGTTTCTGCAGAATGGTACACTACCAATTGTTTGCCACTTGTCTTGGAAAAAGTTCGAGAGAAACGACCTCGCAGTAGGATCCTCCTTCACCACGACAACGCCTCGTCGCACACCGCCAAGCGAACGATCGACTATTTGGCGACATCAAACGTTGAATTACTGGGTCACCCGCCGTATAGCCCCGACCTCGCGCCTTGTGATTTTTATTTATTTCCAAAAATTAAAGAAAAACTTAAAGGAAAGCGGTTTATGAATGCTGAAGAAGCGGTGGCTGCGTATCGCGATGCCATTGAAGAGACCCCTAAGGACGAGTGGGCAAAGTGCTTTTCCCAGTGGTTCCATCGCATGCAGCGGTGTATTGACGTGAATGAACAATATTTTGAAAAGATATAATAAAACTAATAACTGGCTAATGTAATCAGTTTTTGATTTTCTAAGAACTTTCAGTTTGACCCTCGTACAACTTATCTAGTCTAGTTACGAGATAATGTTACTTATTAAATCTTCTCTATCGAATCAAGGACCTGAACTGATTTCGGAATAAATTTTACGGTAATTAACGCCGTTATCACTAGCATAGGCACTTCCCGTGACAATCTGAGTAGGTACAATACAATGTTTGCGAATATAGGTAGCTTAATTTTTCCTCAGTCTTATCTGAATGGCATGACTTTGTATAGAATTAAACGTATCCGGTATTATCTATTCATTCGGTAAGAAGTGAAATGTTATGTGAATAAAAAAGGTGTGGTTTCACTTTCGCCTTGTATATTAATTAGGAAGAACATATAGATTTAAAAATGGTTTTCAAATCTTCATTAGCATAACCGGTCGTGTAGGCAGCCGATATTGTTAGCTAAGGCATGGCCTGTGTAAACATAGAATATTAAGTGTGAGTAGAGTATTAATAAAACTTCAAACAAATAAACTTACAATAGTGCTATGTTTGTTTTTTCCGCAGTAAGATATCCGAAACCGCATTTGCGCGGCCAGAGTGCAGGCGGTCGTTCCGTTACACGCTGAGATTATGGTCGCACCCTTCGGTGATGAATGAAATATTGGTACGTGTCGGTTATGCACTTGTATTTGCAAGTTGCGAGGAGACAAGTTTTGTATTGCACGTCACGCTTGCGAGTAACACAGACGCCTCGTGTGGCGGCGCGCGAGGGACTGAATAGCTTTGACTGGTTAGCCGTCTGGGTCTCGCTCGTACTCGCGTGCCGTTCGGCTTTGGAAGCGGCCAGCTGAAGGGCCGTAAACCCAACCATTTTTTGTCCCGTCTAAGATTAGCAACAAACGTACCGTCTGGATGAATCCATTCAACGAATTCACGACCATCCTGGGTCACGCAGCATAGCAATGCGGAATATTCTCAGGGTTGTTTTGGCATTTAATGGTGCTGATTCTGTAGTACCACTTTCTAAAATAAACTAAAAATAAATCATAATTTATATAAAAAAAAAAACTTTTTATTTGGGTCTAAAGACCCAATATCTTTTTTTTTTATAAAAAATATTATTATATTTATAAAAAATAAATAAATTAAAAATGAATATAAAATGCAAATTTATAATGTAAAAATTCGTCCAGTTTATTAATTTATTAATACCAAAAGCGGACTTGACTCCAAGGGCATTATGTACCAGTCTACCAGACAGGACTACGTCCTGTAAGAGAGCAAAATGTACGGATTGAAGAAAGTAGAGTTTCATAAGTTTGTACAGCAGAATTGATACGTATAACTGCATGCAGTATTCTTACCTAGAGTGCTATCGCAAGCTATCGGAATAGTAGATTAATTATTGGGAATCTTTCTGTATCGTAGTTATAGCTTTATGTATTGGTAAATTTACCAGGTGTCAACGAATACAGTGGATATTCTATTGTCCGGACATTTTGGTTAACGATTAAATGATAACCGCGATAAGGTGAGCTTACTGCGATAAAAAAGTGAAAAAGCTACTTTTCGTTTCCTGTAGGTTATTAATTAAATGATAGGCGCCCGACTTAAATAGCATTTTCTTGCAGAGTCGCGCGTGAGTTTGAGGTAAGTATTATTTTTTACATTGAAATCATCTCAATTTTTATTAAGTTTTTATTTTATGCTTATTTTATGCTAAGTCTAGCAAATACTATGCTGAAAACCGCATCAAAATCGGTTCAGCCAAACACATACTTATGAGAATAAAATTATTTAGGAAGAGTTATATTAATTTTCTGTCGCCATTAAAGTTACTTATACTGTTATTTTAATAAAATTAACAAACAAGTAATAATTGTAATTAGTGTATAAATTTTAATATTTTGTTTTCTGTAAACATTTACTTACTATATATAATTATCAAGATTTAACAAAGAAACAAGATATATAGGAGATAAAAATGGATTTTTATAAACGCGTTCTTATATTTATAATTTTGATCCCTGTTACACAGTGCTATTTTTTTAAATGTAACACTCAATATGAATATATAAATGGTAAATATTATATAAATCTTCTCCTAAATAATCTGAACCATTGCCTGGAAGGCCTGAGCCCCTGCAGTGAGGATGTAAAAGGGCTGTTGTTTGTTTGAATATTTACCCAGTGTGAATTAATGGATTTAAAAAAAAACAAATAAGTATTAATTAGCTTAAGAATAAATATATACTTCTTGTTAAGTACACGAGTTATCTGTCTATCCATAATTTTTCTATGCATTTAGTTACTCAGATTTTCGATAATAAAACCAACTTCAAAATTTACTACATTATTTCAAATTTGAATGAAATACAGAGTCTGATATGAGATAAAACGTGAATAGCATACTTCCTGTACTCGAGTCTTGCTATCTTGCTAGCTCTAGGAAGCAGTGATTAGGAAACGTATTTCGTAATTTCCTGAACGAAGAACAGTATAGATTCTGACCCTGTATTCTTAGAATAGACATTCGAGATATCGTTGTTTGTTTCGTCGTCCGTCCTGCTTTAACTAACGCATTTTTAATATCATAGAGTAGGATATAGCACGATGAAGTTGACGATATCGAAAAATTCATTTTGAGAGTATAACACCAGACGAAATTTGCGCTAACGAGGTGATCCTATGAAAACATAACCGTATTAAATCTCTTATAGCTTATGCTCTAAAAAGTTTTAAAATGTAATCAATTTAATTATGATGGAGTTAGAAGGCAAGGAGTTTGGACGCCACACCATGGCGTCCAAACTCCTTGTGTGAAGCCGATACCGACAAAATAGTTTTTAAGACTTTTGACAAGTTTTTGTATTATTACCAAGATATTTTTCCGAGACTTCGCCTGCGTAAGATATACGTCTGTATCACCCGCGCTTGATGTAGTGTTTCGTAGGTGAAATAATTTTTGAAATCGGTGCATTAGTTTTGACAGACAACAAACAAATCTTTCCTCTTTATAATATTAGTAAAGATTAACATAGATTATAATTTAAAGTGATTATATATATGTTTCATTAAAAATCGGAGATACTATTCGAAAAAGGTTATTAGATAATAAGCAAATAATGAAAGACAGTAACATCTATTTCGGATACTAATTACTCTACCAATATTAATGAGTGGGTGTACTTAATTTAATAATGAACATAACTGTTAATTTTTACAGTACATTACAAATTGTAATTTACCGAGATTTGTTAGTTATAAATAAATATTATATTTTTATTTCTGCACATTTCGGATAATATTGATTACGCGCTAATTACGTAAATCGGTCATAGTGCACTTGATTTTAAACCTTAATATATTGAATGTGGAATTTAAATCAGTTGCTGAAATTTGACATGCTGTGGTAACAATAATTTAAATGATAAATTGTGTGATGCTTATAATTATAAATCAATTATTATCAACATAATTATGATCTGGGAGAATTAACGACTTTAATTAAGACTAGTAACATAATGGTATTTAAAATGATCTAGAGGTAGGCTATCTGAAAAATGCTTACAAACTCCATCAGTCCCAGTTACCGAGATGGGACCTGAACTTACAACCTATTGTAAGTTCTAGTCCCTTACAATTCAACTAACTTACATAATAATTGCATCTCAATAGAATCTCACTAATTACATTTTGCCGTTATACTAGCTACCGTAACTCCAATATTATTTATAATCAGTCACCACTGATGTGTGAGGAAAACATTAGACTTCTAAAATTGGACGTCAGGTAGATCACGTACAATGGTAGAATACAAGTCGTCGAGATTATATTGAGATGTGATAATTACGTAGGGTTATGTCTTGTAAGACGTCCGCAAAGCGGTCGCGGAGGAAGGGGGATGCCCTCCCGACGGTATACTAATTTGTCCGATTAAGATCGGTTTCGGTGGGATGGGAGATGTCCACCTGAAGGTTCCGGCATAGGCGGCTAAAAGTTGGATAGGGCGGGAAAGGGGACTGTGGGATGGGGAGGGGTCAGAATGGGGCCGCAGGTGGAGTCCCACATAACCCGTGAAGCCCGCGCTGGGTGTAGCGGGTATGCGTAACGCATTTCTCAGCTTCAAAAAAAAGAAAGGGTCCCGAACTGCGCTGTGTGTGCGGCTGCAGGAATTCCGACTGGACACTGGATGGGAAGCAAGAGCTGTCATCTCCCAGTCAAGAGGGTAATGCTGGTCCTCTGGTCCCGGCGACCGCGTGCGGTACCGGGCCGCGCCACCTCGTGCGAAATGGATACGCAATAGCAGGTCCACTAGCGCGGGGTGGCCCTTCAATAACGTTCTCCTTTTGAGAACCTTGACGAGGGGCAGGGGATGTGGGGTAAGTGGTCCTGGGATGCACCTCTTCTAGGAGAGGGGGACGTCCCCGTTCTGTTTTGCTTACCTTATTGAATTACAGTTTTGTGATAATTATAACACCAATATTATATATTTTTTATTGCATGCGAGGAGCGATCTGTCAGAACTTAGTTAGACGAAACAGGGGGTTCGGATTGCCCAATAGCGCATCCGGTCCTCCTTCGGAGGTGACGGTGGGGGATGACTACCTCCACGGTCATTGCACCATCTCCGGTTGTCTAGAGAGTGTAACCACCTCATTTTTTTTTTTGACGCTGACAAATGCGTTACGCATACCTCAGTTAGTCGGCGTTCAGACTGATCGCAGCCCCGAAAGGGGCGCTACCAGACCTCAAACCGCCCAACTGACTACCAGTCATGAGAACCATGACCAGTACCCCTCCCGTTAGCAGTTTCCATTATAACCTCAACAGGTCCGATTGCTGTCTGCCCCTCTGGCATGTCGCATTCAGACCCGGAAGTCATTACTATGACCGCTTCCTCCCGTGTGCAGCCTCAGTCATGAACCCAACAACACGTGCTTCAAGCCTGCCTGACGAAGCAATCGGACCAGAGTCCATGACCGAGTCCGCCCCTCACTAAGTCGTCTTCGGAGCATAAAAATCCGAGACCACTCCCACTGTTGAGCTGTTATCCTCGGAACATAAAACGCCGAGGGAACAACTCAGGTTGAGCGGGCTCGGCTACAGTCCCAACCGGTTCAGTCGCCAATACGCCCCTCTGGCAAGGCAACCGAACCAGGAGCCCACAACCGAGTCCACCCCCACTTGTGAGTCGCTGTCGGAACATAAAAATCCGAAGCCACTCCCACTATTGAGTTGTTATCCTCGGAACACAAAACGCCGAGAAAACAACTCAGGTTGAGCAGGCTCGATCACAGTCCCAACAGATTCAGTCACTATCAAGCCCGTCTGGCAAGGCAACCGAACCCGTAGTCCGCAACCGAGTCCACTCCCACTTGTGAGTCGCCTCAGAACATAAAAATCCGAGGCCACTCACGTCGTCTGACATTAGCCGCGGCGGCGCGAAGATACTTCGAGCGGCCACGTTACCCAGGGTGCACCACGAGGAGGTTGCCAGACTTCGCACCCCCCTTGTAACCACCTGGTAAACCTCCCGTCCGCGGAGAGGGAGGGACACCACCGGGTGTCCCCCACGGTCCGGTTCTACAAGGGTTGTGGCTTACGGCCGATACCGTGTACCGGACTACGCGCAAGGGTGGTACGGGGGTTTTTGCATGGTAGGCCTGCTGTAGATAGGATGTTCTTTAACCCTCCGTAGCAGGAGAGCCCGGGTTTAGTTGGCCTTCGTCAAGGTCG